TCTCCATAGCAGTATTTGATTAACAAAATAAATGGCTGTAGAAGAATCACAGCACAGTACGATTGTTACCTGGGAAAGTTCATATCCCACCAAAACACTGCATTGAGTTCAAGCTGAAAGCTGTCTTGTACAAAGGAGAGATGTTTTTTTCTTAAATTTATGAATGCTGTGGTTTTGCTAAGAATGAAAAACTTTCAGTTTCTAGTAAAAGTGAAAGAAAACTGGAAAAGTCACAGTTACACATGAATTAACATTGCTCTTCTTTCCAGTATTTTATAACTGTGCAGCATTTGCAGAGCAGAAGCAGTTCAGACAGAAACAACCTGTTGTCTTTGCACCTCTGTAACAAGCTATTGTTATCTTGATTTCGACACTGAGACTTAGTATTCTATCCAGTAATACTCTGCACATACATCTTCTGATAGATTTCAACATTGTGACAATGAGGAGACATCCTGTCACTCAAAACACAAAGTTAATAACAAATAGAGTCACAGACTTTTTTCTAAAGAAAAATACACAACTCGCCCTCACCACCAAGTAACCGTGTAAGCTTCCAGCTCTGCTTCCATCCACAAAAGAGAGCTAAAAGTATAAAAGTATACAACATACAGTGTACAGTCAATGGAAACTACATTATATAAAAATATTTCTAGTACTTTTAAAGTATCGAGAGTTAAAATACTTGCAATTAGAATGGACCTTATATCTTTTGGTGGTTTCAATTTAATTATTGCTTTCTTTAAAATTGTAATCCTAAATGTTAAACTTTAAAGTTAATGCAGTATTTACTGAGTACTCTGTACTCCAAGTCCATTTCTTTTCCTGATATGACATAGTTTACAGTTTTAGTATCTTGTGCTTATATGTTATGATGTCAACTTTTTACAGGTTGTTTGTATTTAATGTATTGCTTTAAAGACAACTTTTTTCACTAAACATTATGAAATTTTTGGGAGTGTAGAGGTTTGGTCATGTAATAATGAAATCATCTGTATTTAGGCTGGTTCCCTGGTCTCCTGGGAAAATTATGCTTTAAGGGAGAGAAAAAGAAAAATGGGGTGGGATGGCAGGAAGCTGTTGGGAGCTGAGATGGTGGAAAGACCATAGAAAGAAACACAGACAATAAAATAAATCTCTGACAGGCATTCAGTGTTCTAACTCTATGAAATGTACAACAATGTAGAGCTGTACAGGTTCATTTAGGAAAGAATAAGTAATTGTTGGAGCAGGTCATCTATTAATTGGAAGGTTGGAGGTTTGATCCTGGGCTGCTCCAGTCTACATGCCAAATATCCTTGGGCATGATACTAACGCCAAGTTGTACTCTGATGAATCATTTGGAGCGTGAATGTTAGATAGAAAGCGCTTCCCTGGAAAACGCATAGAAAACAATGCCTGTATGAATGGGTGTGAATCTGTGAATGTTGTATAGAACAGTTTGAGTGCTCAAGAAGAATAATTTTTTTTTACTCAATTGTTTTTATAAAGAGCAGCAGGTTTTAAACTTTAGCAGCCTTTTCTGCAGGGTGACATTCAAACCCCCATCCGAGGGGGTCAGGCCTGCTCTTCCACCACCACAGACAGAATATCTAATGATAACAGCAGCAGCAGAGAAAATGTCATTCCTCAACACAACACTTCACACAGAAAGGCCAAATAGATACTGAAACATTGGTATAGAAATGTTTTTGTCCAGGACTTACATGTCTGAAAATTTTTTAAATAGCTACTTACACATGTAGCCAAAGAGGATATCTGTTTAGTTACACACTGACGCAGAAGCGCTTTTGAAAACAGGAGTCAATAGAAATGAAAAGAACAGAAAAAAAAATGGCTACAAGGACAAACAATCCATTTCATCTCCTGCCAGCCTGCAACATTCTTAATGTTCTGCAATGGTCTGAATTTATTACCTCTCAGAACAAACTGACAGCTCCTGTTATGCACAGAGTAGAATTTATAACAATTTTAGTGCATCATCAAGGGTGCTCTGGCATCCTTAAATAGGATTTAACACTAACAATAGAATTTTACTAAGTCTTATCTTACTGAATTGGGCAAATAATGGAGACATTCAAAGTAGAAATGACTACTTGTTCCTAGCGTGTTAGTGTGTGTAAAACTTACCTGAATGAGTTTCGTTCTTTATTGTGAGAGATGTTCAAACTGCAGTTTAAAGCCAAATGTCAGACTCCAGGCTGAGAGGTAGGTACGGAGACCAGACATTCACACAGGAGTGACTGATGGAAGGAGGGAGTGAAGACTGATATGCGTCAGCTGACAGCAAAAGGCTAGCCAATGACCAGGCAGCAGCAAGCGTACAACCAGTGACGGCACATCCTTTTGTGAGCATCCACAGTGCAGACAGTGTTGTTTGATAAAACATTTGCGCAGGAAAGACTCATTTCTTTTAACCTTCAGGTATTCAGACTGTTGTGTGAAATGACAGTGTGACCAACGTCACCAGAAAGTTCAAGGCTGCAGACATTTATTTTGGTGAAGATTGCACAGAACAGAAACTTCACAGAACTACTGCCATATTCAGAAGTCAATAACAGAAAAGCACAGAGAAGCTTAGTCACTTTTAGAGATAATGTAGCAAATAGCCACAGATATCCTTCACCAGCATGTCCTTGTATGTTAATCCATATTGACTCATCCGTTTCCTCTTTGCTGTACTTTAATAGAGAAGTACAATGAAAGCAGATGTGTGGTGAACAGAGTGAGGACCCACAATGCAGGACTGAACTCAGAAATCACAGCTTTATTCCTGGTAAAGGGCCAACAAAAAACAAAAGGCAAAACTAAACAGTAACAGAACATGATATAAACTGCCTGGAAAGGAAACTGACAGAAACATCACCCACAATGAGGAAAGAAAAGGGGAGTCAGACATTATATACACAGAGGATAACAAGCTGCCACTAATCAGAGACTAATGAGACAAAGAAAGCAAAACTGAATGAAATGCCCATGACAGCATTACGACAGAAACTGAGAGCTAGACTAAGATGTGTTAACTTGACACAGGGACTGGACCACAGATGAATCAACAAGAAAGGACAGGAAACCCAAATAAAACACAGAGAGACCAACACAGGAACATGACCAGGGATAACAAAGCACAGAGACTAAACAGACTACAACAGGAGATGCTGATGACAAGACAGGGACCAGACCAGGAACAGACTAGACTAGACTTGTCAGGGCTCTGTGTGCGGGCAGGCGGAGAGGAGGATCCAAACTCAGACACTAACTTGTAACTCAAAAACCTCAGCTTTATTGCTGGTACGAAAACAAAACATGAAGTGAACATGGAATATGGCGAACCGAAACACACAGGCATAATCTGATGGTACGACGCGACACCGAGCATGGGAAAACACAGGGCTTAAATACACAGGGTAGTAATGAGGGAATGGGCAACAGAAGGGAGACACAGCTGGGGGAGATCAGGGCTAACGAGACGGGGGAGCTAAGCTGCACACACTAACATAAGAAAATTTGTGGCATGTTTTAAATGGGACCAAAATGTAACAAACCCTATAAAATGACCAAGAACAAAGCTAAATTGATTCTTAAATATTAATTATATACCCAGGTCTCAGTTTTGGATGGACTTGTTTGGAGACCTAAGAGACTCTGGAAACTTAAATGGAAGCCACGAACACCAATGCTTGCTGAGATTCTGCTTCAGAGGGGTTCTACAGAAAGACCTGGATGAATGCAAAGACCTCTGGAACAAACACAGGATCCGGCCAAGCAGACTTGCATCGTGTCCAGGGGGGATTCCAAACGAACTCTCTCTTGCCTCACAGGTATTTGAGTTCTTAACAAAATGAATTAACCTTTTGCATCAAACTAAATGCAAGGTGTTGTTATTGCTTAAGTTGGTTAATATATATTCATAATTTTACACAAGTATGATAGAGCAGTTTATAACATGTCACTGCATGCGTTGATTTATATAGTTCCATATTGTCAGCAAAAAATCCTTCACTGTTCTATTTTCATTTTGCAGATATGGTTCAAGAGACTGTGGATTTGCTGTTGAGGAGAGGGAACTGGATGTGTTTCCCGAGGAGGGGCTACCGGTTGGATTGTGTGGTGATCCAAACATTGAGGAATATTTACAACAGGCTGTACAACAAAACACACTGCAGCAGCCACAAGACTGGGAATCGGCCACAGAACTGTATTTGGCCCTGAAGGACATAGCTGGGTTTTAGATACCAACTGAACTTCAGTTTGTAATGACATTTGTCAGAGTTACTCTGACGAAGACACACACTGTGTCGAAACGTTAGTTTCTTTCCTTTTTTTGCACCTAATAAAACCTTTGGACTTGAGTGCTCCAGCCCTTCTGTTTTTCCTTCATTTTTTAATGTTAGTAGTGTTTCCTTTCCCTCTTGCTAAATTGAATATAATATTGTTCATAATATACAGCAACTGGCATGGATTTAAATATTAACATTTAACCACAAGGAAACATTTACAATTTTCTTTAATAAAACCATTTACAAATAGTGTCCAGCATTTCTGTCACTTTTCCAACATACACAATATTAAGAAAAAACAACTAAATGTTTAACAATATGGAAGTTGCTTGTCACATGAATGTGTTAAGTAGTGTGCCAACGGCAGCTGAACCTAACAGGGTAACTCAGTAACTGTAACTTGATGACCTTGCTGATTTAAGAACATCCAAATCCTGGAGCATTTTGAATTCCAAAGTCCATGTTGGCCTTAAAGATGCCATATGAGTCACAGATGGGTAGCTTCAGAGTATTTGCACAGGTGTTTGCAACTGGAAAAGGCGAATCACTTAAAAACTGGATGCATGGTGGTGGTGTCATTCCTGCCGGTGGAACTGCCGTCAGCCCTGTGGCAAACATCATCAAATCTTCCAGACACACTGCTGTTGCCTTCTCTGAAAGAAGAAAGTAAACACTGTAGTACATTACAGAAAATTAATTTCCTTACCTCTCCTTTCATAAAACTATAAACAAATAAAAACGGCCATTCAAACCTTCACAATCAAGGAGATAATCTGCCCAAAAGCCAAGTGTTAGGACCTCCTTATGCCGCTTGTTGCTTCCTGCTGGGCTGAGATCTGGTCTGAACATGCTCTCCAGTTCTGAAGCAGTCAGGGCCTTGGCAGAGAAGCATAGGAGTGGGGCCAGCACACTGGAATGTTGTTGCAGTGCACTTAAAAAATTCAGACTTTCCAGTCCATCTTTAAATCTGCAAAGGATAGACAAATAACTAATAATTGGTTTATAGCTATAACTATTGCAGTCTTCTAAATTGTGTTTAAATGTCTTTACCTACTAGATCTTTCATTATAAATTTGGACAGATTTCAAATGCATACACAAAAACAATTCATAGTGCTCAGAAATTAACTGTGACAGCAAAAAAGAAGAGCTCATTGAGATTTCAGCATTTAAAAAAAAAAAATAGTGCTTTCACACTGGAATAAACAAGTGTGTCAAAAAGGGATCACCTCTTTTTATAAATAACTGAAAAATTAATCATGTTGCATGACTGATTATTATGGGTCATTGTGAACAATAAATGTATACTAAATTAGAGTTCTAGTGTCAAAAGGTTAATAGCGTGCGACAGTGGCTCAGGAATTAACTTGTTGTTCATCAGATCACACGGATGCTACCGAATCAGGTTTTTCATATACATCTGAAGGTCTGAAAATGTCAGTGGCTGCTGTGATGAGCAACTGGCCATCCTGAATTTAAAAGGAGTAATGAGTTTACCGTTGAATGACACTTTGGTTTCTTTCAAGGATGTACCATCTGAGGTACTCCTCCACAAATGCTTGTTTCTCACAAGGCTTGAC